ATCCAATTGCTGCTTATTTAACCTGCTCAGCCTCCAAGTGAAAAGGCAGCCCCGTCCCTGCCAGCAACACTCCCACCTTCCAAGAGCAGGTTCCTGACCAGCATGGCTCCCAGCCTGGCCAGGGCAGCAGGCCCCTCCGCCCAAACTACCTGGGACGGGCCCTCCAGATTCCTAGTTAAACATCCTGTCACTAGGAATGCCGACAATGACCACAAAGCAGAAAGTCCTTCCCACACCCTCCCCTGGGGCGCCCGGCTGCGGCACAGGTTGGTGCGAGGAAACCTGGCCCGCAGGCATACAGGGAGGAGGTTCCAGCCCCCACACACCTTCCCAGGTGGACCCCTGGCCAAATGCCCTCAGGCTTCTGAAGGCGGGCAGACGTCCCGTCCATTTCCCCTCCTCACCTTCCCTCCACCCACAGGCCCCTTCTCCTGGTCTCCTGTGCTTCTCCAGGCCCTTGGCCAGTCGGGGTCTTCACTAGTCCTGCCCTGTGCTGGACTTGGATTAGCTCAGTAGCCCAAGGGCCTCAGGCCACCATCTGCCCCCAGCCTCCCGCCCACAAACCTAGGCCCAGACCCACTGGAGACCTTTGCTTCTGCATCTCCGTCTCACCCACCCTGAGGACCGAGCCCCAGCTGGACCTAGCACCAGGGCCCTGCCTCCTGGCGCTTCCTGCTGACACAGACAGAGCCCAAGAAAACCAGTCCTACGGGGAGTGTCGGCCGGCCGGCGGGGAGAGGCAGGGAACCCTCTCCAAGGAATGTATTTCAGCAAAGACCTACAGGGAGCCAGCACGTAGGACGTAGGACGCGGAAAGCAGAAAGGAGGCCAAAGGCGGAGGAAAGGGGGCTGACACTGAGCACCTGCCGAGGGCCAGGACCGGCCACAGCTGCCTTCTGCTGCCTCCTGAAGATGACTATACAGTTCCAGCCGCAGGGCACCATGGTGACCAAACGCATTAACAAAGGGACACAGGGCCCGGGCTGGGGCTGCGGTGAGCAGTCAACATCATCCTGACCCTCCTTGCAGCAGCCCCGTGGGAGCCTGGGGGACCACCATTCCCCTAAAAGTTGGTGGTTTTCTGGTCTTCCAGCTAAAGCACAAGCTCCGGAAACGCCAGTCACGTGACACAGTGTTCGTTAATGTTTTAGGATGAACACATCGATGTCATGAGACAGAAAAGCCTATGATCTCTGTGTGGTCGTCTCTGATTTGACCCCTTATTATGTACTTAGGAATGTCCCCTTTCTCTGTTCTCTAGAAAAAGCTCGTCTCAAACTGGACCTCTTCCTTGACAGTTGGGTTTAGTGTTTTCACTCTAGAAAGGGCCCTTCCTACCAACTCAATTTCTTTAATGGCCACAGAGCTAATGACAGGCTGTACTGCATCTCGAGTCAGTGCTGGCAACTTCTACTTTTCTAGGGGCCTGTCCATTTTTCCCCTAAGTTTCCAAATTGTTGGCCTAAAATTGCTCACAGAATTCCCTTATTATTGTGGAATTTCTGCTCTTCTCCTCCTAGATCAATCGTATTAGTAGGTTGTCTGTTCTCACGGGCCTTTCAAAGAACCATGAGTGGAGACTCGATTATTATATAACTTACTGAATTCCGCTTGTGTCTCTCCAGCCTTCTAATTTCTGCAGGTTTATGCTGCAGTCCTTTTACTTTTATTTAATGTCTTTTTAATATCTTAAAACATTCATTTTCAGCCTTTTGTTGCATAAGCATTTAAGGCTATTAATTTCCTTTGAAGTATCTCCGAGATTTTGATGTGCAGTATTTTCATTATGATTCAATTATGGCTTTTTAACGTATCCATTAATGATTTCTTCCTTGACATCTGAATGAAACTGTTTTTAAATTTCCAAACACACAAGGAATTTTTTCTTTCTTTTTCTGCTCCTGGTATCCAATGATTACCTTTTTCTAATTGCATTTTCTGATAACTGCAGTACTGTATGTATTACTGGTTCTTTGAAGTTTGGTGACACTGACTTTACGACACAATTCACAGTCAACACGTGCGACGGCCCAGGCGTCCTGGCGGAGGACGAGTGTCCTCTGTTTCTTCTGTAAGTGTCCAGTAAGTCAAGTGCCGATTGCTGTGGGAACCTGTTACCCCTTTCTGGCCTGTGTGCCCCATGGTGGAACCTTCTGCTGTCACGATGGACTCCTTCTGCAGGAGGGAAACTGCTGCCTCATTTATTTTCTGTGAGCTCTTTTATTAGGTGTACCCACGCTGAGCGTTTTTCATCCTTCTGATGAGCTGAAGCTGTTATGGAGTGATTCTCTTTTTCATATATATATATATATATATATATATATATATATATATATATATATATATATATATATATATGTCGCTGTCTGAATTGGATACTGCCACCCCAGCCTTCTTTGGCCATTTCTGACTGGCTTATATTGTATTCTTATTCCATTTTCACTGGTTTGGAAGTTATATACCTTAACACTACTTTTAGAGGTTACCCTTGCCTTAAAATTTATTGTTGTTAAACTTGTTTCCTGTCTCTGAGATTTGACCACCGGTGATCGGGTGCAGAGCTGCTCCATGACCACAAGGGGCTCCCTCGCGCTGCTCCCCACCAGCCCCCCATCTCAAACCCCTCCCTAGCAGCCATCCCTCCACTTTCCATCCCCGTAACTTTGTCATCTTGAGACTATTACACATGGGGAATCACACAGCTGTGACCTTTGAAACTGGCTTTTCCACTCAGCAAAACGCCCTTAGCACCCTCCAGGCTGTTGGTCCATCCTCACTGCTGAGCAGCAGCCCATGGTGTGGATGCCCCACCGTTTAACCATTTACCTGCTGAAGGACACCTGGGTTAGTTCCAATTTGGGGCTTATTACACATTAAGATGCCACGAACATCCATATACAGGTTTTTTATTTCTCTAGGAGAAACGCCCAGGCATGCGATGGTTGAGCCACATGATTAGTGTGTTTAACTTTTTAAGAAACTATCAAACTGTTGTCCACTTTGCATTCCCCCCAGCAACGTGGGGATGGTCCAGTTTCTCCGTATCCTTGTCTCTCTTGTTCTAGCCGGTCCAGCAGGCATGCCGTGAGACCTCACTTCATGTGCATTTCCTTGAAGGCCAGTCAGGCTGAACATCTTTCTGGGTGCTTAGCTGCCGGCTATACTTGGAGGAAGTATCTGCTCAAATCTTTTGCCCATTTTCTAATTGAACTGTTTGCTTTCTTACTGTTGAATTTAGAGACCTGTACGTTCAGGGTACAAGTGCTCTGTCAGATACCTATGTCATTTGCAAATACTTTCTTCCAGGAAGTAGCTTGTCTTTTCATTCCCGAAACAGGGTCTTTTGCAGAGCATATGTTTTTAATTTTGATTAAGGAACCCTTGATTTTTTTTTACCATGTATAGTTATTAACCGATGCTAAACTTAACCAATATTTAATTTCCCTGCAAATAGAATGAGCTCAGAATACTTTCTCAGAATACAGCTCTTCCCAAATAATATACTGTCACCGTCGGTTGTTGTTCTGTCCTTCCTGAAAATGTAACTCCACACATTAGACATTATGTTCATAGTTGTTATTTATCATAAAATGATGTAACTATATCAGTCACTGGTTGATGCCAGCATCACTGCCCTTAAACACTGCCCTTCAATTCCTTCGAGCATTCTTCTCCTCCTTTCTGAGCCCACCCTTCAGAAATTCCTTCAGCGAGTCTCTTCTTGGTGGTAAACCCTGAAAGTTTTCACCTGTATAGAAATGTCTCCATTTTGTTTTTGTTCTTGAAAGATGTTTTTTTTGGGTGCATAATTCCAGGTTGATGGTGATTCTAACACGTTGTGGGTATCACTTCACTGTTTTCCAGCTACCATTGTTGTCCAGCTACCCGCCATGCCCCTCCCCAGGCCCACACCCTCCTGGCCACTTGGTTCAGCACCTGAGCGGCCTGGGGACAGTGACAGAAGTACAGACTGAGGCTGGCGGCAGGCTTGGCTGCAGCGGGCACCCCGTCCATCTTCCTAGCTGTCTGCACCGCACACGCTCACTAAGACCTTCCTTCCTCAAAAGCTCAGACTCTAACCGGCTCCTGTTTAAACCACGACCACAGTCTCATTCCTGAATGATCTCCAGGTCACCCCCACCCCATGCCCCAGAGAAGGAGCTTTCAGCCCAGGTGTGAGGGACACTCCTGGACCGAGCGTGGGTCCCCTTCCTTGCACGAACGCCCCCTCCTCTGAGGCCAGGCAGGGCCCTTGCTCTACCTGCCTGTGACCTGGGTTCCTTGGTACACCCCCAACCCACAGCCCAACTGACAGACACCCTTGTCCCAGTCAGGCTCCTGTGTGGCCTCAGCATCTGGCAGCACCGGGCTCAGGCCTCAGAGGACAAAGGACATGCCAGGCTGTGGAGGCAAACAGACCAGGATGTGCCCACGCCGCCCCTCAGCCCCGAGGGGCGGGGCCGCGCTCCCCCAGCCTTGCCCTCAGCTCCCTCTGCCGGCCCCGCCCCACCAGCATCACTGGTTTCTGCCCAATCATCTTTATGGCTTCTGCCAAACCACCTTCTTCACATGCCAGCCCAGCCCTCTGACCGCTGGGTCCTACCGTCTCCCGGGTGGGGCTGCCGGCTGCCTGTTCAGACCTCTCCTGCAGTAACAGAACCTCCCTTCAGACTAAAGCTATAAAGATGCTCCCCAGCTTCTGCCGCAACTTCGTATGGGCACCTCCTTCCAGGCAGTGGGATGAGGAGCAGGCAGAAGCGGCCTTCAAGGGTGTGGGTGTGCCTTCTATTCCTTCCCTCCATCCTGCACCTGGGAACGCGAGCGCAGCCATCTCGGACCATGAGCACCATGACGTACGGAGCTGGAAGACACCGTGGAGCCCCTGCCAGCTCTGGGTCACCAACCTCCAGATTCCTTTTATGTAAGAGCCATAATGACCATCTTCTCCAAAACACACCAGCAAATGCAGCTCAAAGTAGTTTTAACTGATACATGGAGTAACACTCCCCAAGTATGTATTTACTTACTTAGTACTGTTTTCTACAACGGACATGAGCTCTGGGAGGACGGGTTTCTTGTCTTCCTTGGTCACTGCTATATCCTTAGCACTTATTACAGGGCCTGTCCCAGAGGAAGCTCCCGATAGGTACGATGGGACTGACCAGGGTCAGGGCTCATTCTGTGACCAAGATCAGGCTCAGCGTGTGACCGGGATCGGGGCTCAGCGTGTGACCAGGATCGGGGCTCAGCGTGTGACCGGGATCAGGGCTCAGCGTGTGACCGGGATCGGGGTTCAGCGTGTGACCGGGGTCAGGGCTCAGCGTGTGACCGGGATCGGGGCTCAGTTGGGACCAGAGCAGGGGCTGAGCAGGGTTAGCCTGTAACACAAGAAAGCATTCACTGCCAATAGAGACATGAATGCCACCCGCAGTGGGCATCTACAGTGGACAAGGGTCCATCCCTTCCACCTGGAGGCCTCTGGGAGGTGGCACTGAGATGGATACAGGCTTTGCAGGGTGGAAGGACACCTCCTAGTTAGGGGCCATCTGAGGGAAGGCTGCCATGGAGAGCAAATGGTGTCACCTGGACCCACACAAGGCCGCTGGTCACACTGCAGAGGGCAGCTGGACGTGTGGCTAGAGTATGGGCTTTCTTTCGGAGACAGTTACTGCCTGCTATGGGCTCACAGTGAACCTGCCCACCCAGTGCCAGTGATGCCTGGTCTTGGCTCCTTGGCGCTGGGCTCCCCTGGGAGCCCTGCGGGCAGCACACTGTCCAGTTCATGCCAGCATTTCAGGCTCTTGCTTCTAGTAAAGGCTATTTTATCAGGAGAAGGAGGCAGAGGGGGCTAGGCTGACCCCCAACGGCCACCCAGGCTGTCTGGCTGCGCCTGTGCCCTGTGTAACTGGTGGGGGGGAGGGGGGGTGCCAGCTGCCAGGGGCCACACATGGACCAGAGCAAAGAATGGATGGAGGTGTTCTGAAGGCCCGGCCCCCACGGGGGCTGGGAGCAGAGGCATTTACTCGTCAGCATCGCCATCATCACCGTTACTGCCTTTTTCTGGGTCATTTTATGCTTAAATACGAAAAATACTTTTCTGTTAAAAACAAAAACAAAAACAGGTACAAAATGGCATCCCCCATACAGTACCAAGGAACATATGTGCGTATGTGTATCATACAACGTACACACAATGGGACAGATGTCCCGTATTTGGGATGCGGTTCCCTGGGCCCAAGTCGAGCAGACGCAGAGGCCCAGCCCCTTCGAGTCCACACGCCCGTGAAGGAGAGGCCTCCAGCAGTCACTCAGCGCACAGTCAGGGGGCCTTCCTGGCGGCCGGCCCAGCCACATCTCCAGGGTGAAGCCCGCGGGAACGGTCTGGGGTCCTGCCCGCGTGCTTCTCTCGGCCACTCTGCCTGCCACTGGCTGCCTGTAAGCGAGCCCGACCCCTGCCGGCGACTCTGCCATCCCAGTGGCATCGGCCCTGAACAGAACTCTGCCTGGGACCCCAGCCGCCCGGCTCTCTGAATTCCTTCCTTGCGCAACACCGAGCCCCACTGACGTGGCGACAGAAGGGGCCGCCACAGGTGGACGGCCTGTGGCCTTTCCGGCCACATCGAGGCCCCGCCTCTCAGGACTGGAACCCGCTCTGCCCGTGGCCCTGACCCTAAAGCTCCTCCTCCACCTTCAAGATCATCCCTGAGAAGACCTCCAGGCCTGCGGGGGCGCCCTGGGCAGGCCCATGGGCCCCTCCACCAGCAGGGGTGCCGTCCTGAACCAAGGGCAAGGCTCTGGGGGCCGGGCAGGCCTCCACCAGCCTCTCGAGGGTCCGGTTGAGGGCCTCCATGCCGTCGGCCAGCCTCTGGCTCTGCTCCGCCAGCCGCTGCAGCAGCAGGTTCTGCTGGGCCATGAGCGCGCTCTGCTGCTGGGACCAGGAGGAGAGCAGGGCGCCCTGACGCCGATGGGAGTCTAGTAGCCGCCGCTCAAACTCAGAGGCCTCGGCCACCATGGGCCTCCCAGAGGGCTGGGGTGGTGCAGACGAGGGCGGAGAAGGCCGGAAGGCCCCTGGGATCGTGGCTGCTGGGGGGGCCGACGCAGGCGAGGCGGGTGGGGAGGGCGAGGAGGTGGGTGCGGGGAAGGCTCCTCGGAGGTCCAGGGGGTCAGGTTCAGGCAGGCTCGGCCCATCCACAGTCCGCAGGGGCAGCCACAGGCAGCTGGGGGCCTCGTCTTCCTCATCCGCTAGCAGAGGGAGACAGGAAACATGAGCCTTCGCAGGCCAGGATTGGGGCGACACCAGGGAGGTGTCAGGAATGTGACCTGCACAAGGCCCTCTGCACTCGTGCTGTTTAGGTGTCACAGTGCTCCCTGCAGTGGGCAGCTGTGCCCTTACTAGGAAACTAAAACTTAGCGGGTAAAAGACTTCCTCCAGTAATGCTGAGATTGGAACCTCTACCCGGGGACCCCTAAGCCCTGGGGCAGCTGCCAGCTACGCGTCCATCTGCATGCGCATCCTCCCAAGCTGGCCATTATCTACCCACCATCCGATCTGTCCATCTGTCTATACATGTTCACCCTCTCATCCCCTCGCCTCTCTGCCCGTTTGTTCAATCATCCATCTTTCCTCCATCTATCCGTCTCCTCCCCTCCTTTCATCCTCCTCCCTTACATTCATCCGTCCATCCACCCATGGACCCGTGCCTCCATCCATCTACCCATCCATCATTCATCTACCCATCTGTTGGTTCATCTCTCAGCCACCCATCCTCAGTCCATCCAATTACCCATGCTTCTGTGCATCCACCCATCAGTCTATCCATCCATCCATCCACCCACCCATCCGTCATCCGTCTGTCCATCTATATCCATTGACCCATGCCTCCATCCATCCATCTACCCACCTGTGTATACCTTTCCAATCCTTCCGTCCATCCACCCTTCTATCCACCCATCCATCTGTCTGTCCAGGCACCCATCTGTTTGTGGGGGCATCCACCCACCCACCAAGCAGGTGTCCCAGAAGGACGAGAGGGCGTACATGAAATCAGAACTTCCCCAAGGCAGCCGGAGCCCTGGACACGGGATCCGAGACCCCAGGCCCCCAAGCCAGCTCTGCCTCGTGGTGGCTGTGACATGGGAAACCCCTCTCTTCTTTGGGCTCAGATCCCTGATCTGCACGTGAAAGGCCTGGCTGCAGGGCTTCTAACCCTTCAGGCGGCTGGGTGTGTGATCAGTCAACAAACACTCCAGGGAAAACCTCGGGGGCCTGAAACTTGGGGCTGCGGTGAGTCCTGTCTCGCCGGACGCGTCGTGAGGAAGTGGGAAGGCATGGGAAGACATTACTACGTGGCACCGGCTCTGGCTGCGCCTTCTGGGTCTGAGCCCCGCTTGTCTCGTCTACGCACAAGGGTTCTGGCTTTGTGACGGGAATGGGGCCATGACAGCCTCGCCCCAGACAGCTGGGCCCACGAGCTCCTGGGACGGGGCAGGGGGCGCCGGCAGCGGTTCTGAGCCTGATGAGGTGTCCATGGGCACAGGCGGCTGTCCATGCCACCGCCTCCTCCTCCTCTTCCTGCTCCTCATTGTCACATCCTCCTTCTTTGGTCCAGGCATCTGTCACATTTTCCATCCGTGGTACAGACATCTACTATCACGTCTTCCTCCCACAATCCAGGTACCTGCCAATCTGCCTGACCTGGCGACCCCTGGGTGCTCATGGAGGGAGCCCCCCTGCCAGCTGTTCTCTGCTCTTGAAATAAGGCTTCCGGGTGGTGAGGGCCCTGGCAGGTGCCACCCTCAGGAGAGTTCCCATTAGAGAGCCCAGGCCCTCGGCTTCCGACGGGTCCACCTTGCTTGTCAGGTGCAGCTGGTACCTTCTACTCCGGGGGGGCCCTAGAAGGGCCACACCTGGTACAGAGTCTCAGGTGGAGAGCCTGGCTGCCCTCAGTACAGGCCCTGGGCTGTGGCAGACAGCCCCGAGCTGGCGTCGGCAGACACGACCTCCAGCCCTGCCTCTGCCCTGTCCTGCAGGTGAGACCTTGGCACACCAGTGTCCTCTCCTGATGCTGCATTCACCAGCTGTCATGTGTGGCCGACCCTTGCTTGCCCTGACTTCTGAATCTGAGGGCAACTGACAGAGAAAAGGGGGAGGCAGCGGTGGGCCCAGCCCCCATCCTCAGAGCACAGGCCGGGAGGCCTGCGGCACCTGTCCCCACGTGTGGTCTGCCCCATCTGGGCTCCCCAGAGGCAGGACAGATATGGGAAGGGGGCATGGCACAGTGTGGGGAGGGCGCCACTCGCTGCCTCCTCCATGTGCCCTTCCCCCACCCAGGCCCTGCTATGGTTCACACCATGACCCCATCCCCCACCTCCCCTCCCTAAGGAGACCAGAATCCCTTTCCCAGCAGAGCTTGGACTTCCAGAAGCCCCCAGGAAATGAGCGCTTGGTCCACCCACCTCTCCCAAGTGTCCCCTCCCCACTCCCCCTGGCACGGCCCCCACACAGCTGTCCTGAGCTCGCCTGGGCAGCCAGCCCCTCCCCCGGCCTCTGTGCGCACTGTCCCCTCTGCCAGGACAACTGCCTGGCCTTCAGGACGGAGCGCGTGCTCTCCTAGGAAGTCCTCACTGCCCCAGCTGGCCCCCTCACATCGCTGGACTTGATGTCCACCCACCCCAGCCCTGGACACATGCTCCTCGAGGGCTGGGTTCTGCAGGGTCCGTCACTGTACACCAGGGCCCAGCGCAGCGCGGAGAGCCGGCAGGTGACCGAGGAGCGGACGGAGGACGGCTACCAGATGCTCGGTCCTAGCTGGGCGAGGCCTGGGCCCACCTGGCCCAGTCAGGTGCTCACGCGGTGACTGCAGGTCAGCAAGAAGGCCCGGCACTCGATCCCAAGGCTGTCCTAAGGCCCATCTCAAGCACATAAAGGCCCAATATCTATTCTCCCTCCCTCGGAGCCAGATAACTTGTCCCCAGCCAAGGTCTGCTTAGTCCACGGGGAGACCCCCTCCCAGCCTCCAGCCCAAGGCCAGGTCAGGGGCAGACGCTGAGCCCCACGGGTGCCCAGGCGGCAGGCGGAGGATCAGAGGGTCAGGTGGGCCCTCTGCACAGCCCGCACCCTACTGACAGCAGCAGCATACACCGGCAGAGCCAGCGTGCCCTCCTGAGGAAAGGGAGGAGCGACAGGGCTCTCGGGGGGATGGGGGGCAGCTCTGCGCGTGTGGGCTGGCTCCTAGGGGACCACAGCCAGGCCCAGGCCCACCAGCGAGACCCACCACCAGGCGGGCGCTGCTCACACTCTCAGCTCACGCCTTGTCCTCTAGCTTCCACTGAGCCAGCCGGGCAGAGGCCCTGGCGCCCCACCGTGGGGGTGCAGGCGAGAGGAGGCAGTGCGACCACCCTGGGGACGCAGACCCCATAGCCCATTCCTCTCCCCTCCCCCACACCAGTCCTCCTGGGCTCAGAGAAGACCCTGTGGGTGTGCCCTTCCCAGGTGAGGTCAGGGCCTGGGCCTCCTGGGATGGGGACTGGAGGGCCACAGGCTGTCCCCTCACACTGACTTACTTGGTGCCGGCTGGCTCCAGCCAGGAGCTCGCTGGCGGCCTCTGTGTGCGAGGACGCAGCCTCGAGGCTGGCTTCAATACTATCTGCAAATCAAGACAACAAAAGCAATTACTGACTGCACCCGAGGCCAAGCCCCGGAGCCTGAGCCTGGGGGCTGCAGGGAGGGGGACTGGGTGGCATCTGTCCCTTTGGTGGTCACTGAGGCCCAGGTGAGGAGTCCAACCTCCCAAAAAGCAGGGGCTGCAGGGATGGGGCGCTGGCCAAGCAGTCAGGACAGATGGCCTGGAGGTGCCCCACGGCAGAGCAGCCCACTCAAGAAAGGGTGAGGACAGGCCCTGAGAAGGGGCAGAGCCCCTGCCTTACAGAGCTGCTGCAGGGACCGCTGCGGCTGGGCCTGGGGACATTCTCCACGTGCTGACCCGTGGCACCTGGCACTGACCGAAGTTGAGGCCCAGTCAGACCAGAGAAGGAACATCCTGACCACCGCAGGGAGGTGGGCTCAGCCTGCAACACACTCCCCAGATAAAATAGTTCTACCCTGGGGCATCTACAAGCGGCCGCTCAGCCCCTTTCCTGAGCCCTGGGCACTGCCAGGTGGGGTGCAGCCCCACCACATGGCCTGCAGCGGGGCCTCATCAGCCCCGGGCCACCACCTTCGCCTTGTCTGGAAAGTCCCAGGTCGGCGGGGCAACTGTGCAGGGCCATAGGCCCCTTGGTCACCCCCAGTGCCTGGCTCAGGGGGCGCTCGGCGGGAGCTGCCCTGAAGGGCCTCTGCTCTGGGGACCCGTGGCTAGGCCTCCAAGAGCTAAAGGGAATCCCCTCCAGCACCACTCCTCAGATACGTGCAGAGAGCAGGGGGTGCCCCTCAAGGTGCATGGGGCACAGGGGAGATGGGGAAACCGTCCGCCCAGCAGCCCCAGGGCACAGACGCCCTGTGGAGGCCCCTGCACTCTGTCCGCTGGCTGTCCTCAGCTTGCAGGCCTGACCTGCCCAAGCCCCAGGCCAGTGCTGACCAGGAAGGAGGAGAGGGGGGCCTGGGCCACCAGCAGTCGTCTCTGCCACCAGCACCCCCAAAACCAGGCTTTGCGGCACTTCCCTGCCCCTCATCTCTGCCCTGTCGGGGAAGTCCTGCCCCATCCCACTCAGTCATTCAACAAGCCTCAGTCACCATCAGCAGTGCCAGGCCCCTCTCAGGAGGAGCTGACGGCACTAAGGGACCAGTCAGTTGGCGACCCTGATGGAGGCGCGCCCGGGAGCCATGGGGTCTGGGGGGAGGGGGCCCCGGCCCACCAGAGCAGGCAGGGCCTCACCACGAGGAGTTGGCTGAGCCAAGCACAGGGACCGCCGGGGCAAACACAGCCACTGAGTTCCTGCCACGATCCAGAGCTGAGAACTTGTGGGACGGGTCCAAGTACCCAGGGCCACACCACTGCCACCCGCTGCCAGGCCCTTCGCAGTCCCTAGTGTGCCCACCTTGCCTCATGGCACCCCCAAAGCAGATCTGGCTCTGCCTGTAGGAGAGTGGGGTAACCTCCCCAGGCCTAACAGGCAGGCCCCACCCCACCCAGACCCATAACCAAGGCCAGCCCACGGGCAAGGCGGAGACACAGGTCTGTGCCATCCCCGACCCTGTGACCCTGTGCAGTGCACCGC